GAAAGTGTATGCAATCGGAATGCAGACTTTATTCTGGAAGAACAAGAGTTTTGATGTGGTATGGGAAACAGGGGCGGAAGTCCTGGAAAAAAATAAGAGAGCATATAAGAAAGAAGGACTGGGGGAACTTGGGAAGTGGGATGGGAAAGGGAGATGTGGGCGGGCTTATATCATCCCTAAGTTTAAGGATATAAAACGGTTTCGACCAATTAGCCCATCCTATCATGAACCCTCAAAAACAGCGAGTGGTAGGATAGCAAGAGCTTTGAACCATTTGCTATTCCTATTCCCGATGGCCTTGCACTTCAACTTGAAGTCAACTAGGCTACTGAAAGATAGGGTGGAAGAAGTCAACCGATGGGTGAAGGGAAAAGGGAACGGAAGACTGGAGGGGGCAGCTTACGACATCAAAGAGATGTTTAGTCAGCTACCCCATGATTCGATTCGAAGAGCGGTCAGTTGGATCCTCGATTGGTACAGGACTAAAGGAAAGAACTCGGTACAGGTAAAAAGAAGAGGAAAAGGTTCAACGTTTGCCCGAAAGAGGGGAGAGGAGGGGTGGATGAAGATAAGTTTCAAAGCAATTGAGGCAATGGTAAATTTCGAGTTGAATCATACGTATGTTGTCGCAGCGGAAAGATTGATTCAACAACGGGTGGGTATACCAATGGGAAAAAGCAGTAGTCCACCATTGGCTTGCATCCTTTGCGCCATGAATGAGTTTTATTTTTTGCAAAATTTGGGCGCTGATCGGAACCTTGTGAAAGGTGTTCGACTAATGGATGATGTTACCATTTTCGTTTGGTGCCCGGCGAGAAATGGGAATAAGAGGAAAGCAAAGGTTATGGACTCGTTAGAAAGAGCATATGATGAGCAACTAACACTGAAGAGAACGGACGATGGACAGGGCACGTGGGACTTTTTGGGAACACAAATGATGGTGAAATAGGATAATAAAGTGACGTGTCAAAGCTATGCTAAAAACATGGACGAGGTATGGAGGGAAGGGAGACTTACCTTCCGGACAATGCAGGATTTTGAGTCCTATTCATCAATCAGGCAGAAGAAGGTGGTTATTACAAGCGCTTTGTTCAGGATACAACAGATGTCTTCTAACGATGAGCTGGTAGGGTTGGGCCTGCTCACGATGAAGCAACAACTTAGACTGCAGGATTATCCGGGGAGATTGTTTAATGACTGTTTGATGAAATTCATCAAGAGTAAAGCCTCCTCGTGGGAAGTATAGGGACGAAGATTAGGGGGTTGGTAGGAAATAATGGAGTCGGGGGGAAGGGTTTGGTGATGAAAAAAGAAGAGGCCCTCGGTGAACGATGAGACTTGAACTCGGTCAACTGGGAAATACAGGGACGGGACAAAAATAGGACCTAGGTTTTCTCGAAAAAGACCAGGATAAGAAAAGGACCGTAAGGAATTTGGGTGGGACTACCGGGAAGGCTTTTTGAACTTCCGGAAGGTTCCAACAATTGGGACCAGCACCTGTGAAAGTAAACCATGTCAGAGGGGTATTAGTTTACGGAGGATATTACCGGGTACCAGACCCAGAAAAAACGGAAGGGAAATCGGAGGAAAGACTCTTACGAATAGGTACTTATAGGATAGCTTAATCGTCACTTAGCATCTCGATTCCCCCTGATGAGGTTGTAGCTGGCGACGGTCGAAACTAGTAGGGGACAGCCAGTCATCGTCATCTTCCGGAGTTTTATAGCGATCACACGGTGAGGGTGGGATGAGGGTCATAGCTTGGCTATGACAGTCGGGATCTGAATGTTTATCGTTTGCGACTAAATCGAGATTTTTTTCCACATATGGGGCTATTTGTGCATAACGTGCATGTGTGGTTATGTGTTTGTTGCGATTGAGTAAGTTGCAACGATGACTTCGCTTACATTTACATTGATGTGTATCACCATATTTTTTATCCATCCTTTCGATGAAGTTTTCATACAGTGGATAAAATAGTCATGTGAATCCCTGAGGAAAGTGTTATTGAACAGAGGTTGTCAGCACACCTCCTCCTATTTGTCCGGATATACCTTATCGGGTAATGACAATTTCTTCCAAATCTTAAGGACAGAGATCCAAAAAGGATGCTTACGTATATCCATTCTAGCCGCTTGCATGTCATTCAGTTCATGTAGTTGTGGGACTATGACAGTCCTTCGAGCGAGGGACCAGAAACGTTTTTCTAACCATATCAATGGATCCGTATTTTTCATAATGAACGAGGTTAGTCTTCTCATTTGCTCACAGGCTAGACTATTTCAAGGTGTCGTAAGACTGAAGAGAAGACGATTAATCCATTGTAAGGATAGGGTCATAGCCTGTGTTGAGAGGTCAATAATATCCAGACCCCTTTTGGATTTTGGTTGAATCACATACAACCATGTCACTCCACTAATCACGTTTCCATATTCGTGATTCCCTCTCCAAAGAAATGTCGAAAGTTAACGCTGCAATATTTTAAGAGTCGGTTTATCCATTGTCCAAATTGTTGACTTATACTAGATAGATGTCAGTATGACATTGTGAAGCAACTACGACCCTAAAACTCTCATTTCATCAAAATGAACATTTTATATTTTTAAAACGAAATTGAAACCGAGTTTTTTGGCCGAGAACTCGTCCGAATTCGTTGCTCATAAGGGTCCGGTGTTCTTAAAACACTAGACCCCTTGGATATATGTGGACTTGTCTAGCATTGTGTTCGGGTTCGGTGACCAAACCCGGACGTTCGCGACCGAACGCGAAAATAAAAAATATTTAAAAAAAAACAAATAAAGCATTCTCAGACAAATCTGAAAAAAATATATGTTATGTAAAATAATAAAACAAACAACTTTTGTCTGGGAGCATGCTCAAATTCGGAACCAAACTCGAGTTAAAAATCAAAAACCAATGTTTTTATTTTTTTATTTTTTAATATGTTCGGTCAAACACGTTCGGGGGGCGTTCGGCCGAACACCCGAACATGTTTGGACGTTCGAAAAAGCTTCGAACATGTTCGTTGTGCTACACAAATGTGGACTTAGCTTGAGACCAGATACATCCAGGCGGTCCCGTTAAGATGTATCTGGTCTCAAGCTAAGTCCACATACATTCAAGGGGTTTCAACGTTTTAAGAACGCCGGACCTTCTTGAGCAGCAAATTTGGACGAGTTTTC